TAATTAGACAACAAAATAAGGGTCATAAATACTAGGAAGAAGGAAAGAATTATTATCAATTATATGATTGTCTACCTAGAAATCCAAAATAATCAACCAAAAAATTGTTAGAAACGACACAAGAGCACAGAACATTTTTTGTGTATTTCTTTTATACTGGCCATTTTTCTGTGTTTTTGTGTTGTTTCTAACAATTGGTTGACAAGCACAGGGGCACAGGCGGCCCTGGAAGTCAGCAGAGCTTGGCAGTGGTGGGAGTGAGGGTGGCGTCAAACACTTCAGGCTTGGCTGCTTCAGAAACTTTGCAGGCAGGGCAGGTGCCCCCGTCAGTGCTGGCAGGAGTATGCGTGAGCAACTCGAACCCCCAGACTGAGCTCCTGGCTCCGTTAACTCCCTGAAGCTCGTAAGCGGGGATGAAGCCTTTTGTTCTGCGCTGAGAAGTGAGCCGACAGTAAATCAGAGGGATTTGGCAGCCCTCTTCCCTCTCAGCGCCTCACCACAGACCGCAGCCAGAGCTCAAAGCTGCTCGTCTGAGACGAGCAGGAAGGCCAGTGCAGATGAAGCAGCCAGGCCAAGAAAGCAGAAGCAGAGGCTTCTTTCCCAAGAGCAAAGCTGGAAGCGGGAGGTCGGGATGTGGGGATGAGGGGCGGGCTCAGGCATCAGCGACCTGAGAGAGAGGAGAGCTCCAGGTGCTTCAGAAAAGGCAGGTGCGTGGGTCTTCAGGACGTGTGCCACCATCCTGTCTGTCCTATCCTGTTTAGAGACAACGGGGAGGCCTCTCTCCCGGCTCTCCCTTTAGCTGGCACCTAGGCGCTTTGACTTGTTCTCTCATTCAACCCGTACAACCACACTGAGCAGTGAGTTTTTTTGACAATTTTGTGTATTTATCCAAATGTCTTCCCGGTGGTAAATATCTTTGCTTTAGGCTAATTTTCCTGTGTTTTGTTTTTTTTCAAAAATGGAATCATTATACGGTTTTGCAACTTTTTTTCATTATAGCTTAGATAGTTTTTTATTTTCTACATGTAGTTCTATCTCATTATTCTGCAATCTGTGGTTACTTACTATTAAACGGAACTTTGGGTGGCTTCCAGTTTTTGGTATTATAAACAATGCCTAGAATCTCCGTTTGGCTGATTCCTCACTTATTCCGGTTCCTGCTCAGATGCCTCCTCCTCAGAAAGGCCTTCCTAGATGACACTACTTAAAATAGCACTTCCCTCCCCCTAAAATAAAAATAAACTACCACCTCCTTCCCATCCTCTAACACTTCTTAATCCCTTACCCCCCCTTTTTTACAGCACTTATCACTATTTGATATTTTTTTGTACATTTATTTATTTATGTATTGTCTGTTGCCACCACAGGCCTCACAAGTTTCCTGAGAGTAAGGACTTTGTTTCACTGCTGTGCTCCCAGCACCCAGGGTGCCAGGCCCACAGGAGAATCTCATTAAGTGTTTACTGAATGAACTAATACAGAGATAAACATTCTTCTACGTATTTTTGCAAATCTGCACAGATGTTTCAGTCGAATTGCTAGGTCAAAGAGAATAAATATTTAAATTCTAACAGACATCATCAAGACAATCTTCTGAAAAATGGTACCAGTTTACACCTACCTACATGGCACATAAGAATGCATTTGCCCACACCCTCCACAGCAAGACAGGATAATATCAATCTTTGTCATCTTTCCTCTTAATTTTAGAATTTAAAGTACATGTGGATTGATGATAAAACAAAAAAGGAAAGGTGCAAGTCTGCCTCTCTCTGGATCCCACCCCCCTCATTCACACCATCCAAGCTGTGTGCCCTGCATTACAGTGCATAAGCAGTCTCGCCCACCAGCTGGGGCCAGTGACCTTGCTTTTGTCAAGTCTGCTGATTAGTTGTCACCCTCGCCTCACCCCATTCTTGCTGGGGGAGAAAGAGCCAGTCTTTAAGCCGCTGGTGATACAGTCTCAGTCATACTAGCTGTATGACTGTGTGACGCAGGCATTTCACCTATCTGGCTTTCATTTTCTTCATCCATAAAAATGTGAACAAGGAAATCTCTCTTGGAGGGTTCCTGTAAAGATTAAATAAGATAAATATGTAAAGCATCTGGCTCTGCCTGCCATAGCTGGCACTATACCTTTCCCAGCTCCCTCAAAAGCACCCCAGCTGTTTGTAGCACTGATGTTTCTCCTATTCTGGCTGGTAGGAAGGCAGTGGGCAGTGGGTAGGACATGGATGGCGCCTGAACATCGTAGGCGCTCAGCAGATGACTGCCATTTAGAGTGGACTTCTGCATCTAGGAGCTAGTTCATCCCTGCCCATCGTATCACACACTACTGGGTACTCTCTACCCAACCAGCTACTGGATGAGCTCATCTCTCAACCCTGTCTGAGCTGAGCAGGGCCCTTTACAGAACTTTAAAAGTGACTCACTACTGAGTCATCAAAACATAGCAATACCCAAACACGGTCCTGTTGCTACACAAAAGACCAGCATGGGATGTCTGCCTTATCTCCTCCCGCTCTCCTCCTGAGACAGGGCCCCTTGACTCACTGGAGAAGAGTCATCCCATCTTTTGTGCCACAGTAATCTGAACAGAGCTGGTTTCAATAATCACATTGTGGCCAGCGAACAACTCGCAGTCCTCGTGGTCATCCTGGTCATTTCCTGTGTGTGTTACTAACCCGAGAGGAGAGGCAATTAATCAATTACCAGAATGTGTATTGAGCCCCGGCATTCCGGTGGGCACTCACGATTCCTCCTGTTTATAACATTTCTGTGAAGTGACCTTTTCAGTTATTGAAACTCATTAAGAATATAGAGAAAAGCAGCCCTTTGTGCCTCTGTAAAGGGGGAAAAAAGAATATTGGAGAAAATAGGGCTACTTGGTTCCATTGCAGTAGAGTGAGTTTTCAATTAGCAAACAGGAAGCCTAGTGTTTTGGCTAATTGCTTTACAGAGCCATGGTTTTAAATGTGTTGGTTGAGAACTCCTCTCTTATCTAGGAAATGATACGGTCAGTGGTCCGTATTTTTTCTTGGGAGAAGTCTTAAAGTTAGTACCATTGCCCCAGGCCTGGCTGACTGCAGTGGACTATCAAGTCTTTCAAGATTCAGGGCCTGTGTAACGGCTGAGATAACTGCAAGCAGGCCTGAAGGCTTCTCTAACAAGGCTGGTTATAGCCAAGGTTTTGCCTAAGTACAGACGCAACTTTTAAGTACCCTAGCATGGTCCCTTGTAGCTGAAGACCTCAAGCAAAACTGAATGAGAATCTTAGATCCTCAAACTTTTTGTACGTAATCCATATAACTGACACAATCCATACCTAAAGGATATAATGAGATCTGCCCTTGATCTACCTTATACAAATGTTAGAAGGGTAAATGGAAAATAGTATGTTGGTAGTCCTTAAAGATTAATTAGGCATGACCAGAAATAATGTTTATTTCATTAAAAGACGAGCTAGTCACTTTTCCCAAGCTACGCTTCTTAAGTTCTTATAATAATATCAATAATATTTCTGTTCTGATTTGATTATCCTCGCTGGTTGTACACACACTCAACTGTCTATCCATATTAAGCAAACTTACTTTGGGGACACCAGGAGTCACATGTTGCATATGCTGACTATAAAGCCATTCACAAGTGTAGATTATTCTCAAACAACATGGCTATAATTAAAAGTACACATAACATTTATTGAACGTTGTAAGGGACAATGGTAGTCTCACATTTAATCCACGCAACAGCTAAGGAGAGACTGGATTTGATCACACTGTTCTTCTTCAGGTGAGCTGATGAACATGTGGTGAAATGGTCCAATATCGCCCATCAGAGGGTGCTGAGGCAAGTGAGGGGAGAGAAATCTCATCTAGACCCGACAAGTCAAACAGGAGCAGCGGTAGGAGTCACCACATTCTAGCCTGAGATCTGGATTCCTGGGGCCAACCGGCAGTTGGTAACAGTTAGAGCCGGGGGGAGTGAGGTGAGTCTTGCTGAGAACCAGCAGGAGGGGACAGGTAAAGATAACAAGGAAGATGAAAGACAGTTGAAGATTTTTAGCATATTAGTTTTTTAAGTGAAAAACAGATTTGACCAATGTGATTTTTTTTTTTAAATTAGAAATCTATCAGAGTAGGCTCTTGTTTAGGGAAAGTTACTATTTCTCTAGAATCAAAAGCATAAGCTAGAAAAGATTCAGCTTTGGGTAAAACCTGGCTATTCTTATGAAACATTCCTACTGATTTTGCATCACTGTGAAAAATTAGTTCCTAGTTCTGAAGGACCTTTCATTCAAAAGTGCAAGGCTTATGTTAATAAGCATATGCACATATATTCATGTGCTCTCTATATAAGAAGCATTTGAGAGGGTAATTGAGGGATCTCAATTATAAATCTTCAGGGCAGGAATCTTGCTTATTTTGCTGCTAAGGAACGTGAATGGGCTGACAATAGCGGTAGTAAAGCCTTTTACTTGCTAAGTCGTCTGTCTAAACAGGATAAACAGGTTAAATTTGTTCTCCCAACACCTAGAGGCAAGATTTTTACTCAGTTATTACAACATCACCACAAGCATGTGGATTCTGCAAAAGTTGCCTAGCAACATTACAGTTAGAAATAACACTGGGTTGGGAAAGAACAGGAAATTTGAATTAGATCTGCCCTGGGGCATGTGGGCGTAACCCCGGCTCTCCAGTACAGCGAGTGCTGTACTCAGAGGAGCATGAAATTTTAAAAATCAGAACGATCTTTTAGAATTTCAGTTAGGGCACCGCTGCAGTTAAACCATAACATTGTGCCGGGTTCTGGGCTGGAGGAGGCAGCGCCTGGGTTTCTTACTCATTTTGGTACCTTTGTTTGAAAGAACATTAGATTTTTATTCAAATATTCCAGAAATATTTATTAAGCACCCTCTCAAGGACGAAGGCACACCGCTGGTCGCTGGAGCTCTAAAGACAAATAAAACTTGATCTGAGCCCTAGGTGGGAGGAAGCAAGACAAGTAAACAGAGTTAGAGAGTCCATGCCGGGCGTGGTGGAAAGTGTGGAGCACGGAATCTTACCTGGAAGTGGAGAAAGTCAAATGGTTCTTGCACTGACTATTGTTTTCAACTTAAAAAAAAATTCTTTCTTCCTCCCAGTCCTTCTATACATTTGTTGGAAATTTACCTCTCCCAGTATGTGTGGGGACCTGGGTGCCAAGAATTCAAAGTACAGGAGGTGTAGACCAAGAACTCTTCCCTTCCCGTCCGGAACCGAGGCGCTTTTTGCCCCAGCCTACCTCACGGACCTCCCAGTTAAGGGAAGCAGACAGGTGGCAAAGTTAAGTTGACAAAAACCAAAAAATGTTGAGTATTTATCTCCAGGGAGGGAAATTGGGCTGGAGGTTGAAGGGGTAGGTAGGAGACTTCCTGTACCCTTTGAATTTATATTCAGAGACAAAAATAAGTCAACAAATATTTAATTAAGGGCCCTTTATCACTCAGAGGATATTGAGCATCTAAGCCACATCAGAATACTGTAATAAACAAAACAGAAGAGGTCCCTACACTCAGGGACCTCATGTTCTAGAAGGGGATAGAAATAAACGATCAACTTAGTTTGAGAGAGATATAAGGCTGTTAAGGAAATAGAGCAGGGTGTTGCGAAAGAGTGAAGTGGGGGAGGGGACGCGAGCTTGCAATAGGAGCCACAGAATTCCTATATAGGAGAGGCTTAGGAGCAACAAACCAGTGGGGGAGAAGTGGCTACGAGGTTGCCGTTTCCCGAGGAAGTAAACTATTTCTGCATACAATTCGTTACAGATCAATAGAGTAAAAGTTTTCTAAAGTTATTTTTATTTACACTTCACATGAAATTGAGAATATGTCAACTATTCATATCGAAGAATTATATTTGTCATCTGGAGTGAAGGAGAGGAGGTGTTGGAGGGAGGGTGCTAAAAACTCCTTGGCTTTGGCCACCAAGGATCCGAGAATGATTCTCCTTGAAACATACAAAAGGGTAGAGTTCTTGTCTTCCAAGAGCTTCAAATCACGTTTGCGTTAACATACAAAAAAAGATATTTATGCATCAGTTGGCAAATGTTTGGAGAAGACACCTGTTTTACTCTTCGCTGCATCCGAGTCACGTGATCTAAGGAACTTCCCCACGTGATAAGTACTAAGATGTGTTTCCATTATTAAAAATCCAGCTTCAGGTTAGCCTTTGAGAAGTGTTAGAACAACATATATGGCAAAGTGTTAATATTCATAAAGCGCTACAATAAGAAAAGCGGGCAGTAGAAATAAATGTAAAAGGCCATTCAGCGCATGAAAACTGTTCAACGATATAATTCAAAACAACAAAACGACACTAACATTAAATGCCCACTGATGCCCAGAATGCACGAAGTGTACTCTAACCCACTGCTAGCGAGAACGTAAGTTGCTTTTTTTCCTGGAGGGCAGCTTGGCAGTTTATATCCTTTCACCTGGTAATTCTCACTTCTATGAAAGTATCCTAAAAAATTTAAAAACCACAAAGGACGGAGGAAAAAAAAAACCAGAAGAGGGAAGAATATTCATCACGGGGTTATGTACAACCGAAAAACTGTAAGAAACGTGTGTGTGCGACAATAAGGGACGGATTAAATCATTTTGACGGAGTGCTAGAGGAATTTTTTCCCAGGTGCGTTTAGGTTTGCAGCGAGCCGGGCCAGTGGGTGTTGCCAACACTTGCCCACGTGCGGGCAAACAAACACAAACAGCGTGGCCGCGCGGCGGGCGCTCGCTTTTGTGCTGGGCCCACGGCAGTGCTGTTTCTATTTCTCGGTGACAAGTCTCGCGTGGACTGCGGAGGGGACCACGGCCCGGGGAGCTCACCTCGCTGCAGACACACCGGACCCTAACAGCCCCCCGGAGGGAAACTGAGGCTCAGAGGCCGCCCCACGGCCGGTGTCCTCGCCTCGAGAACGCGTGGCCCGCCTTCTCGCTGATTTCCGTGTGGGGACTAAGCAATCGGCTGCCAGTTTGGAAAGGCCCGGAGGCCCGAGTCACCCTGCTGGGCTCCGACCGCGACCCGGGAACGTGACTGGCCACAGCCACGCCCACGACGGGCCTGGGGCTGGCGCCGAAGAGACGCGGGACATGAGGCTGGCCTCCGGGGGCAGCGCCCGAGGTCCAGGGCCGTCCCCACTCGCCGAGCCCCCGAGGCGCTCCCGGCCGTCAGTCCCGCTTGTGGACCCGGAGCGCCAGGCGGGTGGCGAGGAGGCCCAGTCTAGGGCGGCGTTCCGCTCGGCCTGATGGAGCCCGGCTCCCCTCGCCCCTCCCCGAGGGCCGCCTCGGCTCCCCAGCCCGGCCCCGTCCGGGCGGCGCCGGCCCGGCTCCCGGCCGTCCCGCTCACTCATAGGCCCGCGGCGCCGCGCCCGCCTAGGCCTGGCCCCGCGCGGCCAGGGGGGCGGAGCCGGCGGGTTCCCGCCAAAATCGCGTAGCTGCTCCCTCCCCCGCGGGCTACGTCGCGCCCTCCTGTTTTTTCAAACCCGGGGCTGGGCGGGGATTGGTGGGCCGGGCGCTCACGTGGTTAACGGTCGCGGGAAGCCGCGGAGCCCGAACCTGCGGCTGGACCTGCGGAGAGCCCAGCCTCGGCGCCCGGGCCGCCCCGCCTCTGCCGGACCGTCCGCGCCGCCGCCCCGAGCGTCCCGGAGCTCAGCCCGCCGCCGCGCAGTGTCGCCGCCGCCGCCGCTGCTAGGCGCGCCCAGTCGCACGTGGCGGGCCCGCCCCCTGGGCCGGCCGAGCCCTGGACTCCGCGGGCCCCGGGTCCCCGGTCGTCCGCCCCGGCCCCAGGGACACGATGAGCTTCCTGAGCCGGCAGCAGCCGCCGCCGCCCCGCCGCGCCGCGGCCTCCTGCAGCCTGCGGCAGAAGCTCATCTTCTCGCCCTGCAGCGACTGTGAGGAAGAGGAGGAGGAAGAGGAGGAGGAGGGCAGCGGCCACAGCACCGGGGAGGACTCGGCCTTTCAGGAGCCCGACTCGCCGCTGCCGCCCGCGCGGAGCCCCACGGAACCCGGGCCCGAGCGCCGCCGCTCGCCCGGCCCGGCCCCCGGCAGCCCCGGGGAGCTGGAGGAGGACATGCTGCTGCGCGGCGCCTGCACGGGCGCGGACGCGGCGGGCGGCGGGGCCGAGGGCGACTCGTGGGAGGAGGAGGGCTTCGGCTCGTCGTCGCCGGTCAAGTCGCCGGCGGCCGCCTACTTCCTCGCCAGCTGCTTCTCGCCGGTGCGCTGCGGCGGCCCGGGGGACGCGTCCCCGCGCGGTTACGGGGCGCGCGGGGCGGCCGAGGGCCCCTGCTCGCCGCTGCCGGACCAGCCGGGCACCCCGCCGCACAAGACCTTCCGCAAGCTGCGCCTCTTCGACACGCCGCACACCCCGAAGGTGAGGCCGCGGCGCCCCCGCCCGCGCCCCGCCGGCCTTTTAAAAGGGCCGCGGCGCCAGGAGCCGAGCGCGGCGCTGCCCGCGTTCGCTTACATAACCGCCCGGCCGCGCCCCCGCTCGCCCGCCCGCTCCGCCACCGAGAAAGTTGGCAGCCCCTCTCTCTGGCCCTGCCCAGAAGTTGGCCGTTAAGATTGTGTAACTGAACAATGGGCCTCGCCTGGAACTGCTTCATCTTTCAAAGGGGCCGATCGGCGCGGGCCAGGGGGCCGGCGCTTTACCGCCCGCCGAGCCGGGGCCGCCCCGAGCGTGTCAGCCCGGAGGGTGGCCCCGAGAGGGTGGTTGGGAAGGATGCTGGGGGGGCGCTGGCCCGGCCACCCGACACTCCCGGGCGCCGCAGCCATCTGGTGCCTTTTAAACGCAGTGATCGGTCCTGTAATTTGGGCGGCGCGCCCGGGAGTTCGGTTACCAAAAAATTTCCTGCGCTTATCGTTTCGTGTCATGTGGTCTTTGGGGGGAAGGTTTGAGGTATGGAGGGACGCTGCGCTTCGACATGGGAGAAGAGGCTGGCCTTCCGGGCGTTTACAGTCTTTTAAAGACTAGTAAATAATCCGGGGTAGCGTTTAGGCCCCTTCGGGGACGCAGTATTTATTGGGTGAGCGTTTGGTTACACCCTTGGGTTTGCAGCGCCCAAGTCTGGTCAGCTCAAGTGTAATGATTAGGAACGTCCACGTCTTAAAACCCAGCACTGGGATGGTTGCTCAGACCCTTACACTTTCATCCTGTTGGTGATGGATCTTAGAGAATTAGGTATTCAGCGCCTGTTTGTTGAAGGGGTGCTGAGTATGCCGATGAGCACTTCTAGAACTTGAGAAGTAATAGCAGATGTTAAAACGGACGCTTCCCGAAATTAAGATAAGCATCGCATTTGTAAGATTGCTATGGAAAACGTACCTTTTTCAGTGAGTCAGTTTCAGTACCGTTAGTCATAAACCTCGGGAAGTCGGGCGCTTTGAGCGCTGCAGTTTATTAGCCGGCTTGCCCCGGGCGAGATCCCTCTGGAAGTGAGGGGAGGAGTCGGCGGAGGTGGCTTTGTAAGTCCCGTTTAGAAGGGGGGAGGGGAGCTTTTGTGGGACTCCCTGACTGCTTTCTGTCTGGAGATGGATTGAGGAGGTTTGTTCACTTGTAGCCCCTGGAATGAACTTAGTTTTAGTCTCATTCATACTTTTGTTAGGGTTAGAGACCTGTTTTACTTGGCCGTCTTTTTCAGAAAAGATCCATCTTCAAACTGCTCAGTTAACCACTGTTTGTTTTGCTTGAAATATAAACAAAGTCTTGTGATGAAGGTTGTGTTGAGGAGGCTAAATTTTTTTGGATCCTAAAAATTTTATTTTTCCCCTCCTAGAGTTTGCTCTCCAAAGCTCGAGGAATCGATTCGAGCTCTGTTAAACTCCGAAGTGGTTCTCTATTCATGGATACAGAAAAATCAGGAAAGAGGGAATTGGACATGCGACAGACGCCTCAAGTGAACATAAATCCTTTTACTCCAGATTCTGTGTTGTTTCATTCTTCAGGACAGTGTCGTAGAAGAAAGAGAACATACTGGAATGAGTAAGTTGTTTATTAGTCAACAGTTTAGCTTTCCAACCGGCGGAGATTGCTTTGGTATACTTAGCAAAATCTAATTTCAACCGAATGAGTGGAAGTTTATGCTCTGAAATTGTTCCCTGTTACTAGCACCTAATGCTCAGGACAGAGAAAAGGGAAGTAATCAGCTGTGGAAAGGAGTGATGTGAGAAAGGAAGGACTCAAAGGCCTAGGTGGCTTGTAGGCGGTCTGCTGGTGTCGAAAGTGAGGCACACAGAGAAAGTTGACTTAGAAAGGCTTTAATTTTGGTATGTGTGGTGGTGGCTTCCGGTTAATGAGCATATCTCTGCAGGGACATCATTTTCATCCCGAGGTCTATCTTGTGATTACACAATTAAATGCTTTCTTTTCTGTGTTTATTCATTAAAATTCCATTTCTCTGTTCACCTGTCAGGTAAAGTTTTGAATCTCTAGTTGACGTATCTGTCAGATATGTTAACAGAAAAATACATAATATTTTTCAGTTCTTGTGGTGAAGACATGGAAGCCAGTGATTATGAGTTTGAAGATGAAACAAGACCTGCTAAGGTAAATAGCTTTTTCTTTTCTTGCTATTGTTTCTGAAATTTGATTTTCTACTTCTTAACAAGTTATCATATGTACATGTTAAGTAAACATTAAAACATAAGATTCTTAAATTTTACACATTATGCTATCACCATAGTGAAAAATCTTTTTCTTTTTTTTTTTTAAAGATTTTACTTTTTTTCCTTTTCTCCCCAAAGCCCCCCAGTACATAGTTGTATATTCTTCATTGTGGGTCCTTCTAGTTGTGGCATGTGGGATGCTGCCTCAGCATGGTATGATGAGCAGTGCCATGTCCGCGCCCAGGATTCGAACCAACGAAACACTGGGCCACCTGCAGCGGAGCGTGCGAAGTTAACCACTCGGCCACGGGGCCACCCCCCGAAAAATCTTTTTCATATCTTTGTATTATGTATATGGATACACTTTTTATTACAGAGAATTACAATTACTGAAAGCAATATGAAGTCACGGTACACAACAGAATTTCATGAGCTAGAGAAGATTGGCTCTGGAGAGTTTGGTTCTGTGTTTAAGTGCGTGAAGAGGCTGGATGGATGCATTTATGCCATTAAGCGATCCAAAAAGCCATTGGCTGGCTCTGTTGATGAGTATGTATTAAAAATTTTGTCTTTTGCTCTTTTGTTCCCTGTGGTGTTGAAAACATTAGGGTTTTAGATGATCAAGTACTGAATTTAATTAATTCTTTAATCTGTTTTTTTTTTGAGGAAGATTAGCCCTGAGCTAACATCTGCTGCCAATCCTCCTCTTTTTGCTGAGAAAGACTGGCCCTGAGCTAACATCTGTACCCATCTTCCTCTACTTTATATGTGGGATGCCTGCCACAGCATGGCTTGACAAGGCGTGCCATGTCTGCACCCGGAATCCAAACCGGTGATTCCCGGGCTGCCAAAGCAGAATGTGCACACTTAACTGCTGCGCCACCGGGCTGGCCCCTAATCCTTTAATTTTTGAGAAGTTATAATAATTTAATCAGATCCTTTTCGTTTTGTACCATTAGTCCTTATGGACTTGGTAAAATAATATGAGTAGTCTGATTTTGGAGTCTAACTTAAATTTCTTATTTCTAGTAGTATCCATGAATTCACAGTAAAATGAGAGTTTCATCTTTCCTGAGTCCTAGGGCCAGCAAGGTTCCTTCTTTCTAACTAACATTCTTCTTTAATGGAAAGCTTTGGAAAACTCTGGTTAGAGACTCTTAATCCCCTCACTCTTAAGTAAATTGTTCTTCAGCATAATGATAGTTAAGTTTCTTTTATGAAGTTTCAGATAAATTAATTCAGTTTGGGCTTGAATAAAAATGATTTACCATTCTCTTAATCTCAAATTTCTCCTAGGCAGAACGCTTTGAGAGAAGTCTATGCTCATGCAGTACTTGGACAGCATTCTCATGTAGTTCGATATTTCTCCGCATGGGCAGAAGATGATCACATGCTTATACAAAATGAATATTGTAATGGTGAGTGATGTAGTGGTTCCCTTGTAAACTTATGAGCCCAAGAAAATGAATACCGAGGAAGTTTTTATTTTTTTCTAAAGTCTTGCTTTGCTTCTCTCTCTTTTATCTCTCGTAAATTCAAAGATCAGAAGCCTAATATGAATTTCAAGTGCAAGTAGTGCCTACCTGGAAGTTAAGATTGTGAAAACCTTGTCCCTTCTACCTCGGTAGTAGAACTGTGCATATTATTTATGTGCCTGTCCCTTAAATTAAACTGATCTTCTTGAGAGGACAGTGGCCTTGCCATACATATTTTGGTATCGCTAGCACCTACCACAGCGTGCGTGGGATATAGTAGGTAACACAGGCTTCCTGCGTCTAGCCTTCCCTTTCCCTTTCCTTTTATGTGATGCTAAAACTGATGTTCGTTACTCATAAAATGACAGTGGCTCTCCATTGATCTGAATTCAGGCATTCTATAATCTTGCCCCAACTCCTGTCTATCCAACCTAGTTTACCAGTGGAATCCACTAAGACTTCGGTCAAGTAAGTTATGCTCTTTCAGTTCTCTAGCTGTCCTCTCTCCCTCCTTTCCCCCCAAGCAAGCATGTATAGAGGTTCAACTTTGGACCTCTGGATAGCTTTCAGTTTCAGCAAGTCCTTTAAGGACCCACTGGAGTCCCTCCTTTTTTGTTAAACTTTTACTGAAATCCTGATCTCAATTGCAGTTCTTAGAGACTTGTTATTAAATACTCAAATATTTATATATAACAGATTTTGATTTTTGTATATCTTCTATGAATATTAGAGAATTTAGAATTTAGGGAACACTTGAGATATTAAAGATGGTATTTATTGTTTCTTATTATTTTTTCTTTAAATATGACCAGCCATCACACAGCTTTTGAATAAATAAGTCGTATAAATAGTGGATTTAGGTTTTCTGTATTTAAAAATAATGAGTAAAACAAAAGTAAAAGACCCATTTCTCACATCTGACTTCTCACTGAGTTGTCAATTTATTCTCTATACTTGAAAGAACATAAGTGCTTGGTATACAGCATTGCTGCTAGTTTGTTTCACACACCTCTTGATATGTTTCTATTCATGCTATCAAAATATTTACGTGGCTGTCTCCTTTGGCCTCGTGTATTATTCTGTTTCTTAACCTTCATTTTTCAGTTACTGCATTTAATATAGTACAACTTGACCGTAATGTCTTCTCCACTGCATTTTAGCTAGGCGCCATCTCCCTTTAGTTTCCTTCTCTCTCTTGCCTTGTGGATGTGGCTGGTTCTCTTAACAAGAATTTCAAATAGCAGACCAGGGATCACAAATTTGTGACAACCTACCAAATACCTGGTTTTGTAATTCCGATGATTTTGAGAAAACTCTTGGGCCTGGGGGCGTGGGGAGGACTGAGTGGTCTTCCCACCCTCTCAGATTACGAATACCTTGTCCTGTAATAAAATTAGATTTTAAAATAATCTTTTGAGACAGTTTACTATTTTTTAGCAGTATACAACACTTAAAGGATATAGATCTTTAAAAAATAAATAGACCTACCTGAAACAGGGCTGCCTCTTGTATGGCTGTTTATTCTGCTTAGATGAAAGAAAATAAGGCTATCTAGATAGATTTGTGAGCTCTTCTTTTCTTATCTTTTATTTCCCTTTTCCACTATTCTTCTCTCCACATAAAACTTTTTGCTTTTTTGCTGAGGAAGATTGGCTCTGACGTATTTGTTACCAATCTTCCTTTTTTTTTTTCCCCTCCCCAAATCCCAAGTACATAGTTGTATATCCTAGTTGTAGGTCATTCTAGTTCTATGTGGGGTGCCACCACAGCATGACCTCTAACAAGCTGTGTCTAGGTCCACGCCCACGTCCAGGATCTGAACCATGAACCCACAGCCCAGGCAAAGTGACTTAACCACTTGGTCACAATCCAGCCCTCCTGTAAAGCTTCGAATGTCCTAAAAATAGGCTTGATCTTCAGGTCCTTTCGGAAGTTTTGCAGTTCGGAGACAAACATTCTGTTTTCATTTGTAAGTGTTGATTAACTGATAGCCTTTATTGAGACTGAGTTTCCTTGTTATCTCAAACAGTCATTTGCATTTTAAGCCTTTTGTCTTGGTTTGGTGATAGGCAGAAATTTCTACCCTTGATAAGCAAGTGTAGGAAAATGGGTAGGGGAAGAGAACCTGAAATACCAGATAGATGAGTGTTTTGCTCTTCTCACCCCTCTTGGCCTTTCAGCAATGAGATGGAAGGAACGGGCCCAGCTGTGGTTGCTAGACCCACTAAAAAGCAGCTGTGTTCTTTCTTATTACACTTGATCTAGGACTTCAAGCCCGCCTGTCTGACAGGCTTACTGACCTGCTCTCTTCTAGAGCCCTCTTTTTCTCGAAGTTCAAGATTTGTACAAGTTAAGTATGGAGAACATACTTAAGCCTAAGATATCCAGGTGTGTGATTGCTTTTTATTTTTAAACCACATTTGACATTTTGTTATTCAGTCTCGTTCGAGTTGCAGGACCTCTTTTCCTGACTAACATACCATTTGCCTTCCTGATTTTATTACCCTGGCTCTGATTTTATTATTCCTAACTAAGCTCTAAACAGAAATGGGTTTTTTTGTTACACAACACCTCATTTCCTCTGAGATAAAATACAAACTTATAAAGGTTTTAATAAAACTTACAAAGTTTTTAAGAGTATGAATAGGGGCCAGCCTGGTGGCATAGTGGTTAAGTTCATGTGCTCCACTTCAGTAGCCCAGGGTTCACAGGTTTGGATCCAGGGCACGGACCTAGCATCACTCATCAAGCCATGCTGTGGTGACATCCCACATAAAATAGAGGAAGACTGGCATAGATGTTAGCTCAGCGACAATCTTCCTCTCACACACACACACAAAAAGTATAAACAAATTAGCTGATTGGTTTGACTGGTTCTATAAAAGCATGTTATGTTCTCGTTGATAGTAAGAGTAGTATAAATTAAAACCATACCAAGATTTAACTATAAAATTTATAGACTGTTGTCAAGGGTGTGGGAAAACAGGTGTTCTTATATACTAATGATGGGAGTATAAGTAAGTACAGACTTTTCTCTGGGGGACAGTGTGTGTGTGCATGTGGAACCACCCTAGGATTGTCTCCCAAAGCCCCAGATCCCCATGGGCACGTGCTAGCAGAGTTTAGGTACTAGCCATTTTGAAATCAGAAACTGACTGTGTTGTGATTTCTTTTATGTAAACTTTCAGAGGCAATTAAGTTTTGGCACTGACGGTGTGAATACCAACCATAAGCCCTTTTGCAGAAGGATAAACAGAGAAATGGCCCTCTCAGCCACAGAAATGTATTCTATGTGTAATAGTATTACACACACACACACTCTATGCCTGTATAGATTACATTGTACATACCCTTTGGTCCAACAGTTTGTTTCTAGTAGATGTTCTAAATATGTGTGAAATGACCAATATATATAGCAGAGGCTTGGAAATTATTTTAAAACATCCGTCAATTAGAGGACTGGTGAATTCGTTATCATTCAGTTATACAATAGAATTCTGTGGAGACATAAGGAAGGGGTAATATATATATATTGGTAAAGAACAATCTTCACAATAATGAAAATATGTTATCATTTGTGTAAAATATGTTAGCATTTGTTGAAAAGAATACATAAGAAACTGGTAACAGTGGTTTACTTTGGGAAAGAGCACCAGGTGGGTTTCTGGGGTATATGAATGAGACAGAGACTTTTCATTTTGTACCATGTGTAGGTATTACCTATTGAAAGAATAAATAAAATTTTGATTTCACAAGCAGTTCGAAGGGAATAGGTCCTATAAAATGTCACTTTCTTGGTTGAGTCTGTGGTCATTCAGTAAAGATGGAAGGGAGAAAAATAAGAATATATCAGAAAGAATAAAATGCTGATTTTCCCCTTGTTTGTTAGGTGGAAGTTTAGCTGATGCCATAAGTGAAAACTACAGACGCATGAGTTACTTTACAGAAGTGGATTTGAAGGATCTCCTTTTGCAAGTTGGCCGGGGCTTGAGGTATATTCATTCAATGTCTTTGGTTCACATGGATATAAAGCCTAGTAAGTATTATAGAGACTCTGACCTGTGTTCCTTAGACTTATAGAGAATAAATTACTTCATGAAAACGTAAATGTTTTACTATGTTTTTTCTGTGTTAGTTTTAAGAGACCTTTGACCCACTTAGTATTTTTTAATGATTCCCATTTACCTCTTCCCTTGCTGCCCTGAAAGATTTGAGGAGATAAACTCATTATTATTAAAAGTTGGGAAAAATTTGCTGCAGCTTATGGGAACCACATAGTCTCCAAGTGGGACTGTGATGGGGATACTGAGAACCTGTATTTAAAGCCCTTCTCTTCTGCTAGTCTGTAGAACCATAATTATAAATGAATGCTGGTGCTGCTAATAGGGTTATTAGCATAAAATGAGAAACGTGAAAGTTTTGAAAACTTGATTGCTGTACAAACATTGTGGTCTTTCTAGTCTGTAAAAGAAATAGTAAAATTGTTACTATATGACTCAGAAAACAAAATGACACGTGTATTATGATTATAACTGCATGAAAAGGTTGCAGGTGAATCAGGGCTGGAGAGTATAGAAATATAGTGGTTTTGTTTTTTCTCTTTACTGTTAGATCATTTTTCAGCTAAAAAAAATTGATTGATTTTTATATATAAGTGGCTCCAGTAGACTGACTATACTATGACTCAGAACAACCTGAAAGTATTCTTTCAAAGGCTTATGAGATTTCAAACTGAAGGAGCAGTGATACTAATCAAGGTGTAGGCCTACATAATTTTAGCTTAAATTACAACACAATTTTATTACAGAAGCAGTAGTAAGTACATTGTAAAAGTATTTAAAAATATATACAAGTCTGACTAAAAGAAAAATTAAATCCCACTCTTCTATTAACCTTTGGAACTACAGTTATAAAATAATGTCAGTGCTGCTAACAGAGTTACTAGAATAAATTGAGATGAGAAAGTCCTTTGAAAACTTCAGTTGCTATGCAAACATGGTGGTATTTCTAGCCTATAAAATACCATGAAGATGTTACTTTATTCAGAAAACAAAATGGCACATGCATTATGATCATCTTGCATGCAGGGGCCTGCCTGGTGGCTGAGTGGTTAAGTTTGCACTCTCTGCTTGGGTGGCCCAGGGTTTCACCAATTCGGATCCTGGGCATGGACATGGCACTGCTCATCAAGCCATGCTGAGGTGGCATCCCACATGCCACAACTAGAAGGGACCCACAACTGTGTACCAGGGGGCTTTGGGGAAAAAAAGGAAAAATAAAATCTTTAAAAAAGGAAAAAAAAAAAAGGATGCAAGTGAATCCTACAATGATATTAGTGCATATCCCTCTCATTTTATCAAAATAATACCATAGTGTACATACTGTTTTATAACTTTTTTTAAAGTCAACTATCTCTATTTTTCCGTTTGAGTAAATGTTTATCTCATCTAATATCCAGATCATATTAAAATTTTTCCCAGTTGACCCAAGTCATTAACAGTTGATTTGTCCAAACTAGTATCCATTTCAGAACCATGTGTTAGATCTGGTTATATCCATTTTCCTTTATTAGGTTTTACTCTTCCCCTACTTTTCTTTTTTTTTTTTAAGATTTTATTTTTCCTTTTTCTCCCCAAAGCCCCCCAGTACATAGTTGTGTACTTTTTTTAATTGTGGGTTCTTCTAGTTGTGGCATATGGGATGTCACCTCAGCATGGCTCGATGAGCAGTGCCATGTCTGGCCCAGAATCCGAACCGGCGAGACCGTGGGCTGCCAAAGCAGAACACACGAACTTAACCACTGGTCCACGGGGCTGGCCCCTACTCTTCCCCTGCTTTTAGAAAATAATAATAATACAGTCCTTGTCTTGCAAGATGTCCTTTCTTCTGGATTTGACTTGTTGCTTCCTTGCATCATTTAGCTTATTCCTTTTTCCCCTATATTTCCTATAAATTCAAAGTTATAACTAAAAGGCTGATGGATTCAAGTTAAACATTTCATTTTAGGCTAGGTTTATTTTTTTTTTCCTTTTTGCTTGAGGAAGATTCATCCTGAACTAACATCTGTGCCAGTCTTCCTCTATCTTGTATATGGGTCACTGCCACAGCATGGCCACTGACAAGTGGTACAGGTCCACACCAGTGCACTGAACCTGGGCGGCCAAAGTAGAGTGCCCGAACTTAACCACTAGGTCATGGGGCCGGCCCTTAAACTAGGTGTTTTTAAGTTGAATTTAATTAGGTTTTTTTTTTAATCGATGGAAATGTGTGTGATTCAGGAGAATTCAAGTCATTTTACACAACTTATTTTAATTCTGTGGGTTATGTGAACAATTAACAGCTCACTAAAATTTTTATTTTCAAAAAATATATATATTTGGACTGATGGCAGTAAATGTAAATTAGTAAAGTTTGCCTGTACTCATCCATACCTTGTATGGTCAGACAAACATAGTAGTCTCTCATATTACAAGCACAGGAGTTGAAAATATTAAAGCATGTCAAGTTTAAAGATTTCAAATTTACAAATACCACCATAAAATAAATGGTCCTATGAATAAAGCAAAACTGGAAAATGACTGCAGGGATTGTACCATTTTTAAGTTCACTACTATACTAATAAAACTACTGAAGTGAAATCTGCCACTGAAACTTATGTTAATCAGGAGCATCCCTGAATTTGAAGAAAGAAAGTGGGTGTGCAGTGGAAAAGTGAACCACAAAGCCACACTGGGGTGTAGGTGCTGTATGGTCAGCCAAACTCAATAGCTATGTGACTCACTCTTTTCACACCAGCTTTGTAGCGTTAGATTAAAATTTGTGCTCTGGCAGCATCACAACTGGTACATTATTGCCTTTTGTGTTGTTTCTAAGTAATTAAAACTGCTGAATATCAATGTGTAGATGACAGGCATCGAATGCAGTGGTTTCCATGTGTTCAAGGACCAGTGGTAGGCCAGAAAATATATTCCTGGAAAATACAGCCCCAGTTCCTATCCCCTGAGATTCTTATTTTCATTTGGTTTGGGGTAGAACATATAATACTCTACGTATTGAAAAAAGTATTCTGGATGATTCTGATGTATGGCCTTGTTTGTGACCTTTGGTTATAGTATTAATTGTTAGCGTGACTTACGTAAATAACTGTTTGACAGGCAATATCTTCATATCTCGAACCTCAATCCCAAATGCCGCCTCTGAAGAAGGAGATGAAGATGACTGGGCGTCCAACAAAGTTATGTTTAAAATAGGTAAGACGAAAGATAACCAGGCTATTACCTTAAAAGAGAGAGAGAGGCTGTTTTGTTTTAACTCTTGATTACTTTTCCAATACTTGTAGGTGATCTCGGGCATGTAACAAGGATCTCTAGTCCACAAGTTGAAGAAGGTGATAGCCGTTTTCTTGCAAATGAAGTTTTGCAGGAGGTAGTGTTTCTCCTTTAATAATGCTCTTTGCTTTGTCACACTTATCAGTTGGTAGAAGAGTATAAATGCTGACATTAAAATTTTAAGCTGGTAACTAGTGGAATGGTAAGACAAAATAGGAAGTCCAAACCATCAGCTGGGGGTATTCACTCTAGTAAAAGTCAGTGAAGGCAAGGATTTCTAATACTCAGCAGGGGTGATGTCATGGTAAAGGAGAAGCCCTGTACACTGCTGGTGGAACTATAAAATGGCACAGCCTTTTTGGAGAGCAAACTGTTGGTATCCATCAACATTTTAAAATCGTGTACCCTTTGACCCAGAATTTCCATTTCCAGGAGTCTCTTATACAGAAATATTCACATGCAAACAAATTGAGAACTATGTAAATAAGTATTTAGCAATAAGGGAATGATTAAGTAAAGGGCACATAGTTAATTATACGATTTCAAAAAGAGTGTGACGAAATATTCCTCCTTCAGAGTTTTGAATGAAATTAGAACAAGTAGAACAAATCGATTGTATGACCCCTTTTTCCTTTTTATATGTCTATTTGTGTCTTGCGTGTATATGCGTGTTTGTAACTCGTCAACGTGTGTATGTTTTCTGTTTTCATATGAATTCCCCTGCAGGGATAGGAGTTTCTTCTGGCAGTTGAATTGGGCTAGTGAGGAAGAGGAAGCATTTACCTTTAGAAATGTATTTACCACTCTCCCCACCTCGGAGTGTGTATTACTTTATAACTTAAGAAACATCTCCCAAGCCAGCCCTGGTGGCCTAGTGGTTAAAGTCTGGTGCTCTCACTGCTTCAGCGGCCTGGGCTCATTTCCCGGTCATGGAACCACACCACCCATCTGTCAGTTGCTGTGCTGTGGCCATGGCTCACATGAAAGAACTAGAAAGACTTAACAACTAGGATATGCAACCATACCCTGGGGCTTTGGAAAGGGAAAAAAAAGAGAATTTCCCCAAATTTAGCTTGCTCTCTGAATAGGTTATATATGGCATTGGACATTTTAATTTAGTCCTGTTTCTTACCTAAATTATCAAGATGTAATCTTGACTTTATTTTGACCACTTTTTTATTCCCTTAAAAATTTTTTTTTAATTTTACAGAACTATACCCATCTACCAAAAGCGGATATTTTTGCCCTTGCCCTCACAGTGGTGTGTGCAGCTGGTGCTGAACCTCTTCCCAGAAATGGAGACGAATGGCATGAAATCAGACAGGGTAGATTACCTCGGATTCCACAAGTGCTTTCCCAGGAATTTACAGAGTTGTTAAAAGTGAGCATTTATATATGAAGTGTTTTATTGACACTGTTCATTTTATTAAATCACATCTTTACCTTAATTTTACTTCTCTTGTTAAGGTTATGATTCATCCAGATCCAGAGAGAAGACCTTCAGCAATGGCACTGGTAAAGCATTCAGTATTGCTCTCTGCTTCTAGAAAGAGTGCAGAACAATTACGAATAGAATTGAATGCTGAAAAGTTCAAAAATTCACTTTTGCAGAAGTAAGTGAAGGTTTTTTTGTTTTGTTTTTAGTTTCTGATTAATTCTCAAATTTTAATGAGAGATGATTTAGGCTTTCTGTCGGTGAAGGATATAGTGGTTTGGCATGTTATACAGTTAGTTTAAGGACTTCTGCCTTAAATTAGTATGTGATCTATAAATTGGTGTTGTTTCTTTTCTTTTCTTTTTTTTTTTTTGAGGAAGATTAGCCCTGAGCTAACTGCTGCCAATCCTCCTCTTTTTTTTTTTCCTGAGGAAGACTGGCCATAAGCTAACATCCATGCCCATCTTCCTCTACTCTATATGTGGGATGCCTACCACAGCATGGCTTGCCAAACGGTGCCATGTCCGCACCCAGGATCCAAACCGGCGAACCCTGGGCCGCCAAAGCAGAATGTGTGCACTTAACCACTGCACCACCAGGCCAGCCCTTGTGTTGTTTCTGAACTTTAAAATTAACTTAAAAAATTTTAAGACTAGCATATATTTGTAAGTGGTGATAAATCCCCAAGCCCTAAATCATAGCAGAAGCTATGTGAGCCAGTACCAGTCTTCTCCCTCCTAACTCTCACCATAAATGTTGTGCTTGAAACATTCTATTCTACTTATTTTTATGAAAGGATGAAATTAATGTCGATTAGCTTAGTAGATGATTCTTCTATTGGATCTGAATGACCTTTGACATTTTCAGAAAACGGGTTGGAATGATGATTCTAACGCATTTGCTTTATTCCTACCACTTTGATTCTAACCTAATAAAACTGACTTGAAATATTAAAATGTTTAACCACTAGTTTGATAGCAGTCATAGTTCATACAAATAGGAAGTAGAATTGTTCTTTCATCTCTATTATGTAAAGATATTTTCTCAATATGAATTAGAGTTCTATTTGAAATTATTTTTTATTAAGACCCAAAGTCATTACTAGCATCTTTATTACTTGTGTCCAAGTGTATATGATATTTTAATTCTGAACAAAATAAAGCCATTTCATAAATTCAAGTTGTTTGAGCAGAAGCTGGTTTTATATTGTATTTTTCCTTTCCTCAATTGCGTCGTGCAAAAATCTCCCAACTGATAATATAGTTTGTGTTTGGCCTCTTAAGATCCCTTCCTAAGATTAATACAGTAGGTGAAAAGTCTTGTTTCGTATTTTTATGTTCTTAGAGAACTCAAGAAAGCCCAGATGGCAAAAGCTGCAGCTGAGGAAAGAGCCCTCTTCACTGACCGGATGGCCACCAGGTCCACCACCCAGAGTAATAGAACAGCTCGACTTATTGGAAAGAAAATGAACCGCTCTGTCAGCCTTACCATATACTGAACTACTCATTTCCCACCTCCCCCAAAAAACTGTGACCAGAGGAAGCTAGGTTGAAATCACTGCTAGAATCCTGTTTGCAATTACTTTCTCAATCGGTGTCAGTAGTTTTACTGAAGTACCTTTTAGGACTTCTATGTGTGAATTACAGTTGAAAGCTGTATGGTGACCAGTGCTATGTCAGGCTTTGTCTAGTCTTAGCAGTCTGTCTTCTCTAGGATGTCGGTCACTGTTGGATGTTACACCGGCCTTTCCAGGGTTAACCACTGTGGTGGTGTGCTGCTTATAGTTTGCTGTTGTGTTGTCGTAAAAGGTATCTTTCCCTGTGGTGGTGACCTGTAAAAAGGACTCAAGGGCTTTATTACAAACATATTCTCCCTTCGAAAAGGGAAATGCTAAGAGACTCAGTACTACTCAGCCTTCAGTGTACCTGTGTCAATCTTATATTTCTTCTTTTTAATTGTGAATTATACTTGTATATCCAACTGGGAGCACTTTGTAGGCACTGCATCAGCCATGGAATGATGATTCTGTGGAAGTATTGCCTTGTGAATTTGCTGCTATTTTAGTTTTGTCTTTGCTGTAAAATTGTAGCATTAAACAATCATCGTTGTTAATAGGCTTTCTTTTGAAAACAATTATGTGAAATATGTTGCTGCTCTTGATGAAAAGCAGCTATCTGCCCTTTTTTTCTTTGAACTTTGAAGCTAGTGCATTGGAGAAATGCACCCTTTTTTCCCTTTGGAATGCTGTATTAATGTAGTATAATTATTACCGGTTTTGTAATTTTTCCTGATAATGCCCTTCCCTGACTCTTTTTTAAAATGTTTCCTCCCTCTGCCCAAGTTTTGTACTTGATTGTATTATTAGTCTGTTTTTAAATGTTTTGCCTGGTTTCTCTTCAACATCTGTGTATATAAACTAATCTTGGTGTTACTGTACATAGCTGTTTGAAATGCCAGAATGACTTCTGACTATTCCAAGCTTTTCACAAAATACATTTTATCTGTGATTAGCCATTTGACTAATAATACTGGCTAACAGATACTGCAAAAAAAAAGAAAAGAATTTGTCTATTGTTTGTTTTCCTATTAATTTTGGTTTAAAACATGTTTGCACTTGTCTCTTCGACTTGTGTTTTATTAACATTGATTGGCATATTAAAAGTCACTCTGAGCTCACCTTCATTGTCTAAATCTTTGTACCACACCTATTTTCTACTGGTTTATCTCCATTATCACTACATTAGAGTGTAATATATATAAAGTACTAAAAGCAAAGGGCACATTTTTTTATAGAATATGAAACATTAATTATTTAATGATGAGCTTTAGTCCACATTAGCTACGTTTAGGGATTTAAGAAAAGTTTACCCATCAAGTTGAATGTTTTTTGTCATTATATATATTTAATATTTTCACATCACGTTGTATGTTATGCATTTGATCTGCTAGAAATGTAGTGTAATGTAGTTTAAAATAGCTTTAGATTATTAATATAATAGCCGTGAGTCATAACTTTCTAATTGGAACTGAGTCACAGAAGAGAGTTTAAAGTGGGGAGGGTTTTAACTCACTAAAGTGGGCTAGATTTTAAGAATTGAGAGTGCAAATTTAAGTGACAAACAGTGCTAATTCTATGTGACGTCTTTTTCTAATGGAGATTAGCACCCCAGTGTAAGCAGTGAAGGCCTCTGAGCAGATGAAAAGGGATGTAAGATCCTGTGCTTCTTGATCATGGGTGCATCGTTTCTCTTGATTAGGGTCTGTTTCTTCCTGCTATAAATGTTTCTAACAAGCTTGATTATTTTAACTTTTAAGCTTATGGCATATTGAAAAGCACAATTTAGAGTTGTGAGAGGGATTGGTGCAGACAGGTAAATTAGACATAAAAGCTGATAGATGTGGCTGACGGAAAACCTAAAAAGCTTCATAGGCTGGAGCAGGTAACTCACATTCCAGTAGTCACTGAAGGCAAAGCTATAAAAATAGGATAATTGGTGTTCTTAGGATCACTCTAAGTCATTAAGGTGCATTTTTCTAGTGCACTGGCTTCAAAGAAAAAATTGGTGTTTTTCATCAAAATTGGCAGTAAGTTTTTCACGTATTGTTTAAGAATATTAAGTAGAAAAAATCTGGTTTTCAAAGAGGGAATTCTTAAGCTGTCTGAAAGCTGATATGAAAGTTAGGCGCATATTCAACACAGGATACGTATGTCGAGTGCCTTCTGTGTGCCAACTGGCAGACAAAAGACCAATAAGAAATAGTCTTTGCCCACTAGGGACTCAGGATGAAATAGAGGAGGCCCATTAAACATAAAACGTGGTAAGTGCTGTGTTGGAGGGAGTGTGTAAGGTAGAGTGATGGCTCAAAGGCCAGTTGGATACCTTGGGAAGATGCTGGGGGTAGAGCCATTGTACTAAGAGTAAGGTAAGAGTAAGGAGGGCCTGCATTAGGCCCCTGCTGTGGAGGAAGCTGGGGGTAGGGATTCCGTTAGACGGGAGCACTGCACATTGAACAGTTTTTGTTTGTTTTTATAACAGAATGAGAACTTACTAGCATAACATCAAGATTGGAGGAAGCTACAAGTGCTAATATTGAAGCATTGAAGAACTTTTCAGAAAATTAAAATGCAAAGGCCTGTTATTGTTTGAGACAGATATTTAACATTGATAAAACTGTTTTGGAAAGCTGATTTAGTAAGGAAGAAAAACTTTAAATATTGACTATGCAGTTGGGTAGGAGGAATCACACATTGCAGTTGACTACAAATTGAAACTTGCCTTACCTTTAACTGAACTTGATCTTGCCAAGAATCCACGGCAGTCCCCTTTAGTTAATGAACTAATGATTTTTGAAGAGCCAGTTCTCAAGCTTTGATTTTCACTGTTCCAGAGGTGAAGAAATAATGGCATTTAAAAAATTGATAACAGCTGGGTTTGGGTCATGCTTTAGGCTGGCTCCTCGTTCTTAAGTAGCAGCATCCTGACGTTAGTAGTTTTTCCTCCTCCCCAATTCATCTGCACAAAGCATCTCACTGACTTTAGCCAACAGATCAAATCCGTTGTTGCATCCTTAAGGTATTTTTATTTGTGAAAAATTTAAAGGCCAATTAAAGCACTCAACAAGGAGGATGGATAAAAAAAGAATTTTGGAAGTGTTTTGGATGTTGTGAAAATCACAAGTGAAGCTTGGAGCTAGAAATTTGGGAGAAACTGCCTCATTCAGTATTTTGAAGGTGTTTGTATAACTGTAAAAAGCATCACTGAAATTGATTGACATTGCAGAGTGAGTGGATCTAGAAGTTTCTCCTGCAAACCTGATTGTATTGTTAGAAATTTCTCAGAAGCTCAGCAAAAAGTAGATTTTTATAAAAATGGAAGAGTAAAGACATCATTGAAACTGTCCCTCTCCCAACGTTTAGCTTTCAAAACCTTTGAGAGGCATTCATCTGAACATTATTGAGCTTTTTTTTTCTTTGTCGCAAATGACCCTAATTTTCAATGCAGTTCAGAGGTCTCTGGAGTAAGGAAAATATCTATTTCTGCTCTAGGAAGATTTACCAGGAAAAGATGGCATGTTCTGTCCAACTTCATTAAACGGAGAGTCAGAAACCTCGGCCAGTCCAGCCTAAGAAGGAAAATACCTCAAAGGAACATTTCTATCATAGTTCTTACTGTTTAGTTTTATATGGTTAATAAATATTTTGAAGAGCATATTAATTTGTTTTGAGTTTTGACATTCTTACGGTATGAAATGGATTTCCAGCCTGGAATTCCAGTTTATGCCTGCTAATCCATTATGCCGATGGGAAATTGAGGTTCAGTGTACAATGACTCCGTTCAGGATGACTATCCAGGAGAGGAGTCACCTTTTCGCAGATGAGACTATCGAGGCTCAGGTGAGTTAAATAATTTAGGAACTCAGTTTGGTAAGTAGGAGAGCCAGAATTCCACCTCAGATCTCAGAGCCAAGAATCATGGCTTCTTCCAGACCCATGAAAGTTGAGGACAAACACTAATTGAAATGATGCGGGGACGGCGAGCTGAAGAGTCGAAAGAAAGATTTCTTGGACTCTCAAAGGTCTGGGAGTGGTGCTGTTTTATTTAGAGAATAGTATGGAATAGCATGGGGACAGGACCCACGGGCAGTCAGAGCTCCTGCTGCTGCCCTGCGTTGAGTGTTAGGGCTAAATTTATAAGGCATGGGTAAGCGACTTATTTTTACTGGAAAAAGAAAAGATAATGTAAAAAGTCATTAAATGATTTCAGTGCAGATGGGGTCTGGTTATTGTGCGGTCGTATAACTTTAGATACGAATCTGGTCATATAGATCGGCATGTAGGTGAGGATGCCCTGGGCTTCTCTCCCTGGGGCAGCCCTAATTCATACCATAAAAATCCACCGGGTCATATAGTTCGGCATGTAGGCCAGGTCACCTTGGGCTTCTCTATCTGAGGCAGCCTTAATCCACATCAAAAGAACAGAGTACAGGCAACAAAGGAGAGTAAGAAGGAGCAGTCTGAGAATTAGGAAAGTTGGGAAGACTGGTGTCACGGAGACCATGAGAGAAGTTTGAAAGAGAAATTGATTAACTGTGATGATATACAGAAAAGATTAAGAAGTGACTCAAGGGGGCTGGCCCTGTGGCATAGTGGTTAGGTTCAGCATGTTCTGCTTCAACGGCCCAGGTTCATGGGTTCAGATCCCAGGTGTGGACCTATACCACTTGTCAGCCATACTGTGGTGGCAACCCACACGTAAAGTGGAGGAAGATTGGCACAGGGCTAATCTTCCTCAGGAAAGAAAAAAAAAAAGGTGACTCAAGCTCCATGAAGGAAGCATCCAGAGTTCATTAGATCTTTGGCAAGCAGTGTCAGTAAAGGAACAAAAGCCAGATTACAGTGAGTTGGGGTGTAAACAAGAGATGAGCAAATAGAGACGGTAGTATAAATCATTGTCAAGAAACGTAGCTAAAAAAGAAGAGCAAGGGAGGAGAGGGCTAGAGCTCGAGGGGGACTTTGGGTTTTATTGTTTTTGCTACCATTTATTGGTCACCTATTATGTGCTAAGTGTTTCACATACATAATGTTTAACCTGATAAGAACTCGATGACAAAAATCGGCAGGATGTTTAGAGAAGTAAAACAAATTTCCCAGATTACATAGCTACAAAGGGTTAGCATTCAAACTTACAGTGTTTGGCTGAACCTCTAGCCAAATTCATAGCAAGTCCTCTGAGCCTGGAGCAGAGGAAGCAGGCGTGTGGATGAGATGAGTTTGGAAGTGTTTGGAGGAATGCAGGGAGTTGGGGAGGGGAATTCCAGTCTGAAGGCCTCTTCTCTGAAGCTGGACTGAGACCCATGAACTGAAAGTGCCTGCGGACAGATGCACATATATGGGAGGAGTGCCGTCTCACTCCACCGCCTTCTTTCCTTCTGAGTGAGGTGGTTAAAATGTTTTCAGTACACTATACAGCTATTTAAAACAATGTTTCAAGGAGTTTTTATGACTTAGGGAAATGCATGTGTTATGTTAAAGTAAAAAAATCAGGAAGCAAATTTGTATATACAGGATTTTTTTCTTAAGCTTTAAATAAAAGAACAGAAGGCTAACAATGACTGTCATCTGAGGGGTGGGATTATGGGATATATCCCATTCTTTTTTCCTTTTCTGAACTTACAATATTTTAAACAACAAGGCTTTATTTTGTAATCAGAAAAGATAAAACTTAAAAATATTTGAAGTTATTAACATATGCAGTCAATACAAGTTGGACAAGTCACCTGGCTTGCAAAGACTTGTCCAGTGATCATGTCTGTCCTCCCCAAAATTTCTGGTAATGAGACCACTTCCTTGAATACAGGGGCACCTATGTGATGTGGGCTGGACCAAAGGGAGTTTTTCCTAAAAGCTTGCAGATGCTCCAGTTGCTATGTTGGCAAAGATGGGGATGCCAAGCTTTGTACTGCTTGGGAAAAGCCTATCTTCAGGAGAAGAGAATGAACCAACACAGAAGCAGAGTTGAAAAGTGAGGAGCGCCAGATCTGAGTAAGATCAGTTCCCGAAGCCAATCTTAGTTTGATCCCATGACTATATATATATTGCTCTTTTTGCCTGACCTATTTTGAGATGAGTTTCTTTTGCTTGCAATTAAAGAGCTCGATTGATGCAACATATTTCTCTAAACTGGCAGCCATGAATTAAATATTCTGGATGTTGTATGACTGAGAAATGTATGCCAAAGATCCTAGGGTTCCTGGACTAATCCCTTTGTTGGGGCTCCTGCTGTGTCAGGACTGGCGTGTGACAGCAGCAGACTCCCCAGCATCTCCTCCTGGCCTGCCTCATTTTCCTCGTGTGGTTATAGCATCAATTTTCCAGTGGTTACTTTGTGCAAAGCGCCATGCACAGCAGTTCCAGAAATAATTCTGCTGATAGACCCTAACTTCTGCTGAACGGGATTAGACACCGCACAATTCTGTTAACAGCTGAAGAGGCTTCCGCAGCCAACTGATTCGAACAATAGTTGCAATGTGCAGTTTGTTTTCCTGTCTGCCACAAACTACTGTTATGATGTTGAAGATGCTATTCTTGAAGAAAGAACCTGCAGATAAAAGCCAGTGAGGAGTCTTGAATTTGTATTTGACATACGCATTTGTAAAAGGTAGTATTTTAGCCTCTTCATTCTGAGGGATGAAGGGAATACTGAAGCTGGGGAAGGCAGAGGACGTGGCTGTACTGTATACTTCCCAAGTAGATTCCTGGCTCCATCATTGACCGCACTGAAGTATAGAATGGAATTGCACCCGTGTTTACTTTGTTGATTGCATTCTTTGGTTCATTTTTTCAATCAACATTTATCTTGAGGACCTGCACTGTGCTAGAGGTTATAGCTAGGGCTAGGCATTGAGATACAAATACAAACAAGATAATCCTCTACCCTTTCCATTGCACACAGCTGTGTAGAGGTATTAGCCACAACTAACTATAGGGACCGGCCCCATGGCCTAATGGTTAAGTTTGGTGTGCTCTGCTTTGGTGGCCCAGGGTTTGCGGGTTAGGAGGGCCTACACCACTCAGCAGCCATGCTGTGGTGGGGACCCACATGTAAAGTGGAGGAAGATTGGCATGAGATGTTAGCTCAGGGCTAATCTTCTTCAAGCAAAAAAAAGAGAAATAGGGGCCAACCCAATGGCATAGTGGTTAAGTTCGTGTGCTGCATTTCAGCAGCCCAGGGTTTGCAGGTTTGGATCCTAAGTGTGGGCCTACACACTGCTCATCAAGCCATGCTGTGGTGGTGTCCCACATACAAAATAGAGGAGGATTGACACAGATGTTAGCTCAGTGACAATCTTCCTCAAGCAAAAAGAGGAAGATTGGCAACAGATGTTAGCTTAGGGCCAATCTTCCGTACCACAAAAGAAAAGAAAAAAAGAAACAACTACCTGTATATGGTAAAATAAATGTTCTTTTAGGGCATGCATAGGTCACTATGGGGACCAAATGATAAGCAATTAATCCAAGGGATGGGGGGTGGATACTGCTGTTCCCAGGAGAGTGTGACACTTCATATAGGTCTTGAAAGATGAGTAAGAGTTTGCCAAGTGGATAAGGTAGAAGGATTTCCTTGGTAGAGGAATTAGCTTGAACAGGGCACAGGGGACGAAACTGCCTGGGGTATTAGGATGGTGAGACCACAGCATGTAGTTAGAGCAGACGAAGAGAGCTAGTTTTGCATGATGGTACTGGAACCCAGCTTCACTTGGCCAGGTTTTCCATTTCTGGATTTCAATTCTGTGATAAACTGCTAAGAAATACGAATTTCTGTTTATTCTTGTTCAGAGAAGAGTTGAAAATAATGACGAATGAACAAATGAAAGAAACGTATATAAGAGGTCCTGGGCCTTGTCAATCAAGGAACGTGAGTCACCACAGCTCTGAGAGGAAAAGGAGAGAAGAGCTTCTAGCACCATCACGGCTTCGGCCTCTTCCGAGCCCCGTCTTCTTCAGCGAGGGCCCAGAGAACCTGCTACTGCCGCAACATCGGCTCCTTCAGCAGGCCAGTTCTCGGCACTGTCCCTGCTGTCCCCGTACCATCCTCCTGCCCTCCGTGATTCCTGGCGCTGCCTCCTCTGCGCCTGGATCCTTGTGCCTGAGCCTTGGGCTTTGCCACTCCCATGCCCCGTCCTATCTCCGGGTCCCTGAATGCTGAGTGGCCCAAGCACAGACAGGACTGGGGACTGGTGGTGGAGGGCAGGGCTGTGCTCTGGAGCTGAGCATCTCCTGCCCTCTGGCAGGGGCAGCTGCTTCTCTTCCTTTCTTACTCCTTGGTGCCCAGAGAGGACCAGGAAGAATCTAACTTCTTCACCCTTCTAAAGTCGTACGTGTATCTGCCGCCGAGCGTCCATAGTGTTCTGTTCTGAGCTTGGCTGGAGCGCTTGCCAAGCAGACTGGGTTTGAGGTTTCAATGTGAAGGCTGAAATTAGAGGGGGAGACCCTAACTGAAGTGACCAGAGGGTGAATAAGAGCTGAAATCTTAGACAGCAACGAGGGCCAGCGCAAAAAACCAAATTCAATTGAAAGCCAGGGGGAGAAGGCTCGGATCAGGAATGAGTGAGGGGCTGGCATGGTCCCCAAAGGCCACTTCACTGGCTGTCAGCCGTGTGTGGAGAGTGTGCCATACTGGGTCACACATGGGCTCACACACAGCGGCTC